TATAATTATTTTACATTAGAAAATAAAATAAATGTCGCCCTCTTGAGTCTCCCTGATTTCTCCCACCAAATTGCTTTTAAACGCCATACAAAAATGATTGCCTTGAACTTCAAATCCACCACTTGAGGCGACTGCTTTGCCTTGAGGTAAAATAGCTTCTGAACTGTAGCAGCAGCAGCAGCAGCAGCAGCAGCAGCAGCAGCAGATAAAATGAAGTGTCTTGCCAATGTATACATTTGCACTCACTTGAGATAGCTAGCGGCCTCACCCAACCTTTGGCATTGACATTAACCTGCAGGGAGTTTATAGTCTGTAATTCCTGTCATAATCCCCCTCCTGATCACCTTGCTTTCTGTTTGGATTGTGCACGAGTGCGTGTGTGTGTGTTTTTAGCGGTTGTTTTTAACCTGGTTGTTTTTAACAACCGTTTTTGCTATTTAACAGCTGGGGGCAGAGCAATTAATGAGCAAAGCCCCACTGGTTGTTAACTGCAGTAATGACTAATTTCCAGACCCTGCAGACATGGGGAAAGCCCCAGTTTACAACTGCAATAACAGACTGTGTGTTTTTAGAAAATTGATAGCCGCCATCACTTTGGTTGGAGATAGCTTTCCTGATGCTGAGCAGAAACGCTTCCAGGCTGAATAGACTTGGGACGCATTCACACCGTTTAAAAGCACTGTGGCGCCCCTTCTGGGAGCTGTAGTTCCTTAAGGGAAAACTCTACTCCCCTCCCAGAGTTCCCAGAAAGGAGGGATTGATTGTTGAACTATTTTCGGAATTGTAGCTCCGGGAGAGAAACGGGGGTCTCCTAAGAACTCTTAGCACTCTTAACAAACTAAACTTCCCAGAATTCTTTCAGGGGAGTTGTTTAAAATTGTACCACAGTGCTTTAAATGTGTGGCCTTCTTTCAAAAGCCAAGCCATACTTTTGAAAAACGTGGTATCACTATGGTAGTTGTTTCATGTCAGTGAAACCCCCTGGGCGAGTTACACGGACCCCCATTTGGGAACAATTGGGCTAGAGGAAGTCCCAGTGAACCCATTGACACTTCTGAATGAACATTGAATAGGATTACAGCGGTACCTCGGGTTAAGTACTTAATTCGTTCCGGAGGTCTGTTCTTAACCTGAAACTGTTCTTAACCTGAAGCACCACTTTAGCTAATGGGGCCTCCTGCTGCCACCGTACCGCTGGAGCACGATTTCTGTTCTCATGAACAGAACCTGAAGCAAGGTTCTTAACCTGAAGCACTACTTCTGGGTTAGCAGAGAGTGTAACCTGAAGCGTATGTAACCTGAAGCGTATGTAACCCGAGGTACCACTGTACTTTGAAATGACAGGCCAGGCAGGTATGAAACAGTATTTTTTTTTAATAAAAAAAATTACACACACACAGAGACAATTAAAACAAGAGCACTTTCCAGATTCATCATAACCAATTCAGACAGCAGAATGGATGACTCCATTTTAGCGTTTAAAATATAGCTTCCTTTCCCATCAGATCTGAAAGAAAAATTCATTTCGCTTAAATTGCCTGAGAGAATAAAATGTCTTTAATTGTTCCATCTGGGAACCATCTAGTTATGAGGATGATGATTTGCAGAGGGTGTTCTTGGTAACTGCCTCACACAACTTAACTTTGGGACTCTGAGGGGAGACGTGATGTCAGGACTTCCTGCCTGGGAGGGACATTTGGTGGCCTGGAGTAAAACTGCATGGCAGGATAGCTTTAATTGTACTGCGCTGAATATTCAGTGGAACTGCGGTTAGTTTCCTTCTTCTTATTTAAAAAATCTTGTGCTATTACTCAACGTATTCCCTTTGGATGGAGCATGTTAGATACATATTACAACTCATAACTAAAGGTTGCAGCAGCAGAAGCTTTTTTTGCCAATTTCGGACGGTGCTTTTCCCTCTGATCCACAATCTCCGAGCTCCATTGAGGTCCTCTTTAAATAATAATAATAATAATAATAAAACCTACCTCCTGTCTTCCTGTCCCTTGAGCAAGAGAGAAATTGCTTTTTGGCAGCAAGTGCCAGCAATTAAAACTTTCACTGTCTGCTCAGCTTGACTTCCATTCAACAAGGAACAGATAAATATTAATGGGAAGAGCGCCTATGGCTGGCTCCTTCGGAACAAAGAACTCCAGGCACTAAAATAGGGATGGGGAACCTGTGGCTCTGAGAAGGTTGTGGGACTCCAACTCCCATCAGCCCCATCAAGCATGGACAATGGCCAGGAATGATGGGAGCTATAGTCTTGCACTAAAACATGGACCAGGAAACCAGGTCTTTGAAACTCTCACGATGGACTTTTCCTGGGCCCAGATGTTGATTGAATCATGATCTATGCCAACCTCGATGAAGATCTGAATAGTTCTACACTTTATGCAGAACGAGGTGATCAAACTAACACTATGTACACCCTAATATACGGTGGTACCTCGGGTTACAGACGCTTCAGGTTACAGATTCCGCTAACCCAGAAATAGTACCTTGGGTTAAGAACTTTGTTTCAGGATGAGAACAGAAATTGCACAGCGGCGGCGCGGCGGCAGCAGGAGGCCCCATTAGCTAAAGTGGTACCTCAGGTTAAGAACAGTTTCAGGTTAAGAACGGACCTCCAGAACAAATTAAGTTCCTAACCCGAGATATCACTGTACCTTTAAAGCACACCTGAAGCATGTTTCCCTCTCATCGGCGGAATATTGCACAAAACTGGGATGATGACACTAGCAGTTCAGATCCTTGTCAAATGTCCAACTCAAGGAATTACTTGTGATGCTCCTGCAGATGATCTCAGAGACTGAAATATAAGGGTTCAGGTGGTCTCTAAAGTACCCTTGGACCTAACTTGTTTAGGGTTTTTTAAAGCAATACAAGGTATTGATGGTTGGCTGTTGATGACATATTAGAAGTCTGTCAAAATCAAACCATCAAGAGATGTCTATGTACATTAGATAATTGTTTTTATATGCAGATTTCACACTGTGTATAAAAAATTGAAATTTTCTCTACCATTTCTCACTGAAATGGTTTGAATGGGAAGCAAGAATGGAAATTCATCAATATCTACTGTATAGATATTAGTTTCTGCTAATTCAGCATCCCTGAATTATAAAACTGAATCATAATTGCCTGCCACTGTCTCCGTACAGAAGAGGATCAGAAAGAGTGGACTATTCCTTTTTCTTCTTGTGTTTAATTATAACTTTTCAAAACTCTTTCTTAAAAGTGCATTATGGATTTATAAGAGAATTAAGTTTCAACAAGGCTAATTGTTGCGGGTTTCTGGGAATTGTACCTCTGTGAGGGGGAAACTACAGTGCCCAGAATTCTTTGAGGAAAATAATACGTTTCGGATGTGCTTTAAAGGTATAGTGTATACGCAGCCATAGGTACAGTACTAGGAATGTGGAGCAGTCGCTCTTTGTACTGCAGCTATGCGTGTGGGTTAATATTTTAAAATAGTTCCTCAAGTAAAAGCTGCTTGCGTGTGGTTACTGGAAGAACTTTGTTCTTGGTCTGCATGTTCACTAAGTGCAAGATGTTAGTGGTTTTAATTTTTTTTTAAAGTGGGAATTTGAAGCGGAGGAGAGAGGCTAAAAGGCAAAGCATTTGTTGGGCTGCCCTTCTAGAAGCCTGAAAGTGTTTTGAGATGTGAGAGTTATTGCCCTCAAGCCAACCCACCAAAGTTATGGGGTGGGATAGGAATGGGCCACGGATGGAAGTCTTAGGATCGTCCTACTTGCATGTAGGACCCTGGCAGAGACACATGCCCAACTGGCAAGTTCTCTCCCTCCTGGTCTGTTGTTCGGGAGCTTCAAAAGCTTTCTCTAGCCCGAACATAGCAGTGACTGATACGAAGAAGCATTTGCACACTTACGATCCTGCAAAGTATTGGCAGGACTCATTAGCACAGCATTTTGGCTAATCTACTTTACTTACATATAATACACTCAGAGCATTCTGACTTAGCTCCTTCCTCTTTCTTATCAGTCAGCAAAGAAAGAAAGAAAGAACAAAGGAACACAGAAGAACATTCTGGAACACAGTAACACAAAACATCCTGTCTCCGTCACTTGCCACACTGTGGAATGAAAACATACACCGTCATGTGATACAAAACAATCCCATGACTGCAAACGCGGAGCAAGAATCCTAACAGGAAGATTCATGTGCATGTTGAATGGTTTCTTTAAATGTAAAGGTTCATCATTGTTCCACTCAATGTGTATGTCTTTAAGGGGCCAGAGCAAGGGCCAGAGCAAGATAACGAGACCCAGCTTTGCAGCTGTGAAACATAGCAGGTGCTGCTGAGTTGTATTTGATTAAGGTGTGTCAGCATTTGGGTGTAGTATATAAGGAGCAGCACCTAGCTCTCCCATTACCCTGGGGGATGGGTTGGTGGTTGGGTCTGGTTTGTTGATGTATTAGTGTAAATGGAGTTTTTGTTTTTCTTATTAAAACCTTGTTTAAGTTATTTTTGAGTCCTTTTCTTTTTAATGCATGATCTCCCCAGCAAGCTCTCTGCAGTGCTACCATACTGCAAACAGCCAACAGTGCAATCTGTGGTCCCTGCTGAGCATGTTATGCCGCATGATGGGGCAAGAGGGGAGGGCAAGGAGGAGGAAAACAGAGAGTAGGCTCTGGCTGTGCCACTCCTGCATGTGCTTGGGAGATTCCCATGGCAATATGAGGGGGAGGGGAAGGATTCCTCACCTGCAGTGTGAAGTGGTACAGCCCAAAATTCTACCAGCTCACTTTGCCACCTTGTGATCCCTCCACAACAGCGTAAAATGGTGCAGTCCAGAATTCCACCAGCCCAATTCACTAATTGTGTGATCGTGCAATATGTGCAAGGTGGCTGGTTTGCTTCTTTAAGGTGCGAGCAGAGAACTGTACACCACTGCACGTCACACCTGCAGCTCTGGGGTTGATTATTTATGCATGCCCTCCCCCCTCTCTCCGAAAAGATGACACAGATCTACATGTTTCCATATGCTGGCTTTAAATGTTCATATGCAATTTCAGAAATAAGGGCTGAATCTACACACATAAAAAAACACTGTGAAAATGCTTTAAAAAAACATGTTTTAAAACATATCTGGAATGTGCCATTAGCTCACCAGCGCCATCTTGTTTCACATTTGTATAAAGCACTTAAAACACACTTAAAACATTATATTTGCAGCTGTATAGCTGAGTCCAAGGACTGTGATATAAAAAGAAATATAAACAATCCATCTGGCTGTTGGGGGGAAGACTGGGCTCAGATGACCCATGAGTTTGCTGACCCTGCTGTCCAGGCTTAACAATTGATGGGCGAGCCTGCGCTCCCTTCGTAGGGTTCTTCTGTGGGAATGTTGTGGATAGGAGGAGAAGATATATTGATTAAATATTATCCTTCCTCACTAGTGAGCTTGTAGCAGAGCACATTCCCTTATACATTGCAGGAAGCTAGTTGATGGATTCATGAGAATTATTTGAGTTAAGCAACCCAGTCGTGGTAAATCCCCTTTAGTTCCCTCTTAAAAACAATAATGACACAACAGTCTTCTTTTAAAAGTAATCAATGTTACTTACATTGAGTTCACAGTATGGTCCTGAAGGTGGGCTTTAGCTCAGGCATAGGCAAACTCGGCCCTCCAGATGTTTTGGGTCTACAAATCCCATCATCCCTAGCTAACAGGACCAGTGGTCAGGGATGATGGGGATTGTAGTCCCAAAACATCTGGAGGGCCGAGTTTGCCTATGCCTGCGTTAGCTTGTAGTTACAGTGAAAAGTGTGGGTTCATCCTCTGTGAAGGATGAGCCCATGTGCTGCTGGCTTAGAGCCAACAGACAGCAAAAGGCAAAATGGAGAGAAAGGGATCAAGAGAGAGAGAGATGGATGCGTGACTGCCAGGGTCACGCCCGTCTCCCTGGTAACATGCAGGGGGAGGATACTCCAGACCAGGTGTGACAGGAAGTCCTCCTGGCTGGAGCAACATTCCCCTGCGTGTCCACTCTGGGCAAACAGGAAATGTTGTATTTACTGCTTCTTCAGTGATGTTACATCCCACATCTTCAACATTAAACGAGGCCTGGATTGTCCAGTCCTTGGAAGAGAGAACCCCTTCAAGCAGACAACTGCTCTCTTTCAATTGTCATCAATAAAACAGGCCACCCTGCCTAACTCACCTCGCATGGTAGCTCTGCTTCTGCCTTGTCTGTGTGCCGCTCGGCAGAAACCGTTCCAGCTCCCATTAACGCTCCCCTTTTACAGGCAGGTCCAGCATGGCCGGTGGTCCCCGCAGGTAGATGCACTTTAGCTTCCGAAGGAGGGAGGTCTGAGCCATGTGGTGGAAAAGGAAGAGAGCGCCAAGAGAAGGGCCTCCGCATCTGGACAGTGTCCTGCTTCTCTCTCCCTTCCTTTAAAGCCACTTCCAGATCTCTTATCGTCTCTTAACAAAGTTGCCTCCTCTGCAGACCTGGCTTGCGCCCTGAAATTTGCTGCGCCTGAGCCCGGTTCTGCTCCAAGGAAGGCCGTAATGGCCGGTAATTGCCTGCCGACAGTCGTAGCGGATGCCAAGAATTGGAAAGCCAAACTGCAGGTGTCTTCCCTCCTCGTCACATCACACCCTTTCTAGGCTTATCCCCTCCCACCCTCACCGCCTGCCGGCTCTTCTCCATTTTCAGGGTTCTCCCACTCCATTATCTCCTCTCTCCATTCAGCCGCTAATCGCTCTCCCATTCAAAGAGCTGTTTCTCATTTAGGAGCAATTATTGTGCGCATCTGGGCCCCCCTCCCCGTATGTCCCTCCCTGGGCCTCCGTAAGCTAAGTTAGGAACGGAGCATGCTACGTGTGCTTCTGCGACAGAGCACCGTTTGTGCGCAAGATAGATGCCTCTAACACAGTGGAAGGCCTGAGACGAAGAATGTCCAAATATCTTGGTCAGGGGTCAGTAAATTTTTTCAGCAGGGGGCCGGTCCACTGTCCCTCAGACCTTGTGGGGGGCCTGACTATATTTTGAAGGAAAAAAAATAATGAACGAATTCCTATGCCCCACAAATAACCCAGAGATGCATTTTAAATAAAAGCTCACATTCTACTCATGTAAAAACAAGCTGATTCCTGGACCATCCGCTGGCCAGATTTAGAAGGCGATTGGGCTGGATCCAGCCCCCGGGCCTTAGTTTGCCTACCCATGATCTTGGTGGTTGTTTTCTTACTGCCTATTAACTTTCAGAAAAATGGTAGGCTTTGCAAGAGGTCAGCTACAAATCAGTAACAGGTCTGTTGTGTGGTTTTGTCGAAACGATCTGAAACTGAAACTGTGCCAGTGGCAAAATAGGACAGATTGTCAAATATTATGACCCTACTCCAGTATGGGAACTGAGCAACCGGTGCTGGACAAAGCCGTTTTGATGCCTGAAGGGAACTCCAAATGACAGCCTGCCCTCTCCAGCTGTTTTGAAGACACTCAAACTCTGGATGAAAGGGAGAAATGTGCTAAGAGGCACGCTTGGCAAACCCTCACCATGATCAACTCCCACCCGGATACTTATGTCCCCACTGTGGAAGGACGTGTGGATCCAGAATTGGCCTCCACAGTCACTTACGGACTGACTGTTAAGAATGTGTTCATGGAAGACAATCTTATTCGGCTACAAGTGATCACCAAAGAAGAAGACGCAAATGTCTAGAAAGTTTACGCAAGTTTTGATTTCTTCTTAGTCTAATTCAACTTTTCGTATGTCTTGCATGATCGCTGTTCATTTTTCTTACTGGCTATTTTATTGTTTTATTTGCCAACCGCTTGGAGCTTCTTTGGCAATCAAGCGGCCCATACATTTTATGAAATAACTAAATATATAAATCAGACTTGTACACTTATCACTATAGGGGCAGACTATGCAGAGGGAGAAACTGAAAAGCTCTCTCGCCGCCTTCCTTCCCCAGCACCGTAGCCTGAAATTGTTGGGTGAGGACTGCTTTTTGCATAAAAATAAATAAATAAATAGCAGGAGATCTTTATCACAGACCTCCCTCCTGCATCTCATCTAGTTGGAGTGTTTGTGTGACGGAGAAAGAGAAAAGAATGGAGACCACAAGAATGAAAACCATAAGGAGACAAATGCTGAAATGAATGAGGGAAGGTATTTTGGTTGTTGCTGGTTTTTTTAAGAAGCAAGTAGCAGCAGCCCGCTGCAAAAATAATCTGCTTGGTTTCCCTCTTTGTCGCACGTGTTTGGAAGAGAGCTGGTTATCACATCGAGGGCTTTTCTGGGATTTATTAGCGTTAACCTCACCATCGCCCGCGGGCAAGCCTCGCGCACGGCCCTCCAGTCATTAGCTGCCTCGGCAATTAAAATAAGCCGCTGCTGGAAGCAGCTGCAATCTGGGACTTCTTCAAAGATCCCGCAGGAAGTACCTTGACCGTCTCTCCAGGAAACAGCAGACAGCAGAGACACGGCAGGGATGGCGTGGGCTGCGGTTTTAACACAGAATAGCTCTCCGTTTAGGAATTCGACCCAATCGCAAGGTGACCTTTGACCTTCAAGGCCAGGACGAGCATTGCCAAATCGGGATCACAACTACTCAAGGACACCATTAAAGGAAGGGGGTGCAATCCATCACCCCCACAGATGGTATACGATTCATTCACCAAGAGCATCTATTTCCGACCAAGTCACTGGTTGTTTTACACACCGAGTGACTGTTTGTGTTCATATTTAAAAAAATAATAATAATGAAAGAAGCTTGTGTATGAAGTATGGTGGTACCTCAGGTTACAGACGCTTCAAGTTACAGACTCTGCTAACCCAGAAATAGTACCTCGGGTTAAGAACTTTGCTTCAGGATGAACGGACCTCCGGAACGAATTAAGTACTTAACCCGAGGTACCACTGTATGCATGAAAAAAGGTATAAGTACTGTATTGGCCCAGATATAAGCCACACCCGAATATAAGCGGCACCTTTAAAATTCAATGGCGGCGGGGGGGGGGGAATAATACCCAAATATAAGCCACTCCCTTAAAATTCCACAGGTATTCACACCCGTTCCATTTTACTGTATGTCTGTTTCAGCAGCAATGTCGTAAAAAAGGCCAATTTTTGTAAGGTCGCGAATTTAAGCCACACTTAACTTTTCATAGTCAGAATTTGGGGGGAAGTGCGGCTTATATTCGGGCCAATACGGTAACCCTCGTTTGCTTTTTCAAAAGATGACTGTTTGACCCAAACTGATAACATCGCCACAGTTATTATGAACCACCTATTATAAACTGCAGTTGTGCTGGACTACATACACATTGTGCCAAAAAAACTGCAACAAAAAAGCAGCCTCTCTTTAACAAATCTCAAAATTGACTTTTAAACTTTGATTAAAATCTTGCCCTTTTATTAATATATCTCTTCACCCTGCCCCCAAATCTGAAATACCTCTGCTCTTACTACCACCAAAGGAAAGTGTCGCCCGACATTCCCTAGATGCACATACGTGCAAGTGAACCCGTGGCTGCACATTCTCCATGGAAATACACTCTGCACGTGCTCTGGAGAACTTTTTTTGGATGATCTTTACCTACTCTAGCAGGGGTGAGCCCTGGTATTCAAAAACAAGCTCGAAAGCTGAGCCTGGTTTAAATTGTCCCACTGCAGCTACATGGAAGGCTTGGTCCAATCCTGGATCCTATTTCTTAACATGTCTCTAGCATCAAAGAGAAGTTGTTAAGACCAGTGAAGAAAATTAAGACATAAGCCACAATGCAAAAGATAAAGGACCCCTGGACAGTTAAGTCCAGTCAAAGGGGACTATGGGGTTGCAGCACTCATCTTGCTTTCAGGCCGAGGGAGCTGGCCTTTGTCCACAGACAGCTTTCTGGGTCATGTGGCCAGCAGGACTGAACCGCTTCTGGTGCAATGAAACACCATGACAGAAACCAGAGCGCACAGAAACGCCGTTTACCTTCCCGCCGGAGCGGTACCTATTTATCTACTTGCACTTGTGTGCTTTCGAAGTGCTAGGTTGGCAGGAGCAGGGACCGGGCAACAGGAGCTCACCCCGTCGCGGGGATTTGAACTGTCGACCTTCCGATCGGCAAACCAAGATGCTCAGTGGTTTAGATCACAGCACCACCTGCATCCCACAGTGTAAGAACATAAGAAGAGCCTGCTGGATCAGGCCAATGGCCTATCTAGTCCAACATCTGTTCCCACAGTACAGTGGTACCTTTGGTTGCAGACACTTCAGGTTACGGATACCGCTAACCCAGAAGTAGTACCTCGGGTTAAGAAATTTACCTCAGGATGAGAACAGAAATTGCGCAGCAGCAGCAGGAGGCCCCATTAGCTAAAGTGGTACCTCAGATTAAGAACAGTTTCAGGTTAAGAACGGACCTCTGGAACAAATTAAGTTCTTAACCAGAGGTACCACTGTAGTCGACCAGATGCCTGTGGGAAACCAGCAAGCAGGATTCGAACCCAAGAGCACTCTCCCCTCCTGTGGTCTCCAGCAACTGGTGTTCTGAAGCAGTGCTGCCTCCAGCTGTGGTAGCTGAGCCAAGCCAAGCCACTGAGGCTTCGATAGCCATCGATAGCCCTCTCCTCCAAGAATTCGTCTCATTCTCTTTTAAAGCCATCTAAGTTTATGTCTGTCAGTGCCTCCTGTGGAAGCGAGATCCATAGCTAGGGTTGCCAGGACACCCTGAAAGTTGATGGGCTTTTTAAGGAAGACCCTAAAATTGTTGTGCTTTTTTTAAACAAACCTCAGTGTTTTATAGAAACCTACCTACGATCTAGGACAAAGCTTTGGCAGTCCAAGTTTAACTGTGCATTGAAGAAATACTGTATTTTATCTGTCCCAAATCTTCCAGCATTCAGCTTCTTTGAATATCCAGGAGTTCTAGTGTTACACAGTAAGAAGCTTTTTAAAATATAAATTATAATGCGGAAGTATTTGATTCACCGCAGATCATCTGGTACGATAGATAGGGACAGATTCTCTTATCCCTGCCCAGTTTGGCGGCTGGATATCTCTGATTACCAGATGCTGGAGGGAAAATTAGAAAAAGAGATGCTATCTGCATAATTCTTTTTTCATGTAACCCTCGGCTGAATGGTGCTATTTGGAATTCCTGAAATGTGCTGGCATCTCCAGTGTCCAGCCACTGTGAGATGGAGGGGGAGGGAGCAACCAAGCTCACTTAGCCCCTTCTGTGGTCCTCACCAGCCCCCTCAGGGCTGGCCTATGCATGAGGCGCAGACTGAGGTGGCCACCTCATGCAGTGGAATCCAACGGGTGCTTCTGTGGGCACCTCCATGGACACACTCCCCTCTGCCACCGCTGGAGAAGTGACTGCAGTGGTTTTCAGGTTCTGGAGAACCTCATGAGAGCCCTGCGAGATGTCACCAGAACATGGAAGCCACAGGTGTGCAATATTGGTATCGGGGACTGTCTGGATGAGGAAGAGTGGCAGGAGGACACAGAAGAAGACAACTTTGATCCCAGATCCTGAAAGGGACGAGCTGGGAGGTGCTTGAAGCAGGGGGTTTGAGCGATCAAGGCAGGTCAGAAGAAGTAGGGCCTTCCTGGACAGGGTTAGAGGCTGAGAGT